AGATGAAGCCCAAGCTAAGTAGTTTGAACCTCCCATTAAAGGTTCCGAGGTAATAATAGCACTTGAACTTCCAGAACTCATGTTTCTAGACCCAAAAGCATCAAATCCCAAAGACATTGTGGCAAATTATTACCAAATCAAAAGCATCAAATCACTGCCGGAATCTACTGTAGCTGCCGGAAAAAACTCAAAGTTGTCGGAATGAAATGAAAACAGTAGGGGTAGGATCGGAAGTGGTCGTACGCGCCAGCGCGTGAGCTCACGCGCATGAGCTTCTGGTGGCGCATGGAGGCGCGTGAGGAGGCTGCTGCCGGAGTTTTTCACTGGAGTTTAGTCACCGGACAGTGACGACTCTTGTGGTAGTGTTGGATTTTGCACAACACTGACAAAAATGAAGCAGATAGAAAACAGCCTTAAAAAGTACTGATTTCTCTTTCCCGGAATCGCTGGAATTTATGCACAGCGATTTCTCTTTCCCGGAATCGCTGGAATTTATGCACAGCGATAAGTCTCTCACAATTGCTCTGATACCATGTGAGAAGGCACGGGAGAAAATATGTTATTGATATTTGATGAACAATACAATACAAGAGGTCCTTATTTATAGCTATATTATACAAGGACATACTGCTCTTCTACCAATGTGGGACAATACTACATTATATACATGCTGTAAACTAACAATAATAGTAGTAATACATCCTCATATCATAACTTCTAAATTTCCATATGGAATCATACAATGAATCAAAATTTAGGGGCAGCAGCACTTACTACCATTTCCACTCTTTAAATATTCTTATTCAGCTGTTTGGTTTCCATCTATTAAAATTCTAGCAAGCAATTTTCCTATTAAAAATAGGGAGATGAGGAAGGAGAGACCTGTGAACGATGTTCGATCTGTAACTGGAACATGGAGACACCATATATTGAAGATCCTTCATGTATGGAAAGCACCACCCAAAAAGAAAAGAAAAGAAAAGAAGAAGAAGAAGATGATGACTTAACAGGATATTGTTATCCAGTACAACACAAACATCTTATGATGCTTTATAAATGATGCTTTTAAAGGACAATAGTAATACTGAAAATCAAACATTTTAAATTCCAGCATTGTGCCGGAAAGATCAACTAACAAACTCACCTTCCAAGTCTCTTATGATGCTTTATAAGGCCAAGTCCAACACCATCAATCCCTGCAGTGTTCCGAGTAAAGAGAATTGCTTAATTAACTTATAGATTTAGCTATTTAGATCAATGTATGAATAGTTCACAGACACTGATACAGAGAAGGATATTTGTCTAGTCTGTGCCATATATCAATATCTGCACTATGGCTTTGTTCACAACGAAATAATTGGGCCACTGAACAATGCAATCAATTATAAATTTTTTCTTTGCAGCTATTTGAGAGAATGTTAGTGTTATTATACAAGAGGATCAATAAGCTAGAGCTCATTTCTATGTCCAGCAACATTATATTTGATTAGATCCTTTTGTAAAACCAAACATAGTTAAGATAACAACATAAGATGAATCAAAAATTTATCACATAGTGTGTGATGGACATACTTAAGATTCTACTAACAATGGAGTATTATTTTATACAACAAGTTTCTAAAATTTAAATCTATTAACCATTCACTTTAAGTTCAGATGTGATATTTTCTTATTCAAACTTATATCTAATTTTTTATTTTGCTATTTTCTTTCATTACTACTTTTATACAAAGAAGTTAAACTAATATCTTAAACTTCGTACTTAGTTAAATAACGTAAAATAAAATTGGACGGAGGGAGTATACTTTTGGAGTTAGGAATCTAACGAAAATACAATACACATATGCAATATAACAATGTAAGGAAACAAAAACGAGGCATGTAAAATTTGAAAATTAGCGGCAAAAACAGCACATAGTTAATGCTCTTTCTTTTTCTCGTTCGAACATTTTTTTCATAAAGTTCATCTTTTATATGCTGTCTCGTTCAGACACGGAAGAACTTAAAAGAAAAGAAAAAGGGAAAAGTAGATATATCTGCATCCTTTGCTCGTAGCAGCTACGTTATCAGTGATTACTACGTGTTTGATGATGAAAGGGAAAACGTGGATAGTTAGTTAGGTAGAAGACCCAATCGATACTTTCTACTCCCACAGTAGTAATAAATTAATTACTAGCAGTTCACTATAATACTGGCATGTCCTAATCCAGATCGCCTTAATTTCTTGTCTATCGTCCATTCAATTTAAGATATTTTGTAGTAACAGAAGAAAATAAGTAAAGTTGGTGATTCGGTGTGTCATTTAACTCACCTGGTAAGTAGAGCAAGAGAGGCGAGTCTTTGATTGGACAAGTGCAATCCAAGGGCGAAAACCAGCGTGGTGGCCCATCCTCGGATCCGCATCCAATCATATCCTTGCTCCATTCCAGGTAATCCTTTATAGTTAAAGTTTTTTCCTCTAGCTCAGTAGTGGAGTTGTTCCTTAACCTTCCGTTGTTGCTCGACGGAGCAGGCGGCGTTGGCGGTTGCTGGCCGGTGGAGGCGACTGATCCCCCAGCAGTAGTTGCTGATGCACGCACCCGAAAATTGAATCTAGCGGAGGTGACAAGGAGACATGAGTTCGGATGGAGCAGCGGCGAGGCACCGGCCGCCGTGTAAGCGCCAGTGGGAATAGCCGCCATAGACAAAAATCAAAATGCCGATAAGCTTTTGCACTACGTAAGAACAATTAGTTTTGAAATGGAAAGCTCGTTATATCTTTGCACCTTCTTTTTATATTGACTTTTTAGTTTATTCTATTCGGGTTCTGAAATCACAAAATATCAATAATGGACTCATGACTACCAATATATACAGACATCGTCTGGACCCCACAGCCTCACTTAATCACTTTTAAAACTTTTGGTGAAGTAAAAGTCAGCCATTATTAGCTCATCCACACATTTTTTGCGGTAATGCAATTGCTTGTACGGGATCTTTAACACAAATAGCCTGTTCCGTTATATTCTTTTTCTTAATAATTTTCATAGATTATACATCTATTATATATAATTATACATATAAAATATATGAATTATGTATATATTAAACTTATATTGACTATTTTTAATTTAAATGGTTAGGCGAACGATCACTTGATCACTTGAGTTAATTATTATACTTAAATTTGGATGATAGGCTGCTTTATATGAACTGTTGTGTCTAGTTGTTGTATGCCACGTAATTTCTTCTGTTACCAATCTTAAAGTGCGTATTGGAAAACGACTTTCTTGATTGTAACAACATAAATTTTGCCTATAAGAAAGCAAATTAGATTATACTTATCCAACATAAATTTTAAAAAAGATTATAATGAAGCATATTCGGACAAATTCTAATTTTACCCACTTGATAGCTATAACAGTGATGCTGTCTATTTCATTTACACACTAATAAACATCCAGATCTTGATATATTAAATGGTTATCTATCAAAAGTATGTGAAGTTAACCCTTGCTCAAAGTTAATACTAAGATATACTGTGCTAAAATGCAAAATTGTGTTTGAACTGTAATTTACACAGGGCTTGCCTAGTGCAGTTTACATCCCTTGTGTGGTTTGCAGGCTATTTCACAGGGGGAGTTTACCCAGTGCGCACAAAATGTTCACCACAGAGTGCTCACCCGAAGGACAGAGGCTGTGACAGAGGTTGTAGCGGTTGCGGGTTTCCCCTCTTACCAAAAAAAACTGTAATTTAAACACCATTTATGTTGCAAACAACTTAAGCATTATTTGTGTATTATGTGATTTTATATCTTTCACATATGCACACAGAAGAATGATTTTACTGCAAGAAAAAAGAGAAGGAAAAAAAAAAAGAATTATAACTTAGAAGTCATCTGTTCCGAAACTTGTTAGTTATTCTCTCTTTTTTACTATTCTTTGCTTTTACCTCCGCTCTAATATTTCCAGAGTCTCACACGAAAGAGTGGGAGTCCTCAATCTTAATATATGTGTGATTATAAAAAGATTTATACTCGTAATCTTATACATAATATAATATTTGTATAATTATAAAAAATTATCATTAAGAATAAAATGTGAAGTAAAAAATTAATTATTTTTCAAATATAAAAAAGTAAGAAATTAGCGTCATATAAACTAAAAGAGTGAATATTACTATTTTTTTAGGCATTACTCCGGATTTTACATAAGAGAAAACTGGCCCGGCAAATAAGGAGTCCTTCCCTTTTGTGAGTTTCACATTTGGCTACTCTGAGTGATAAACCAACTAATTACTGGTCTTACCTAATTTTTTTTTTTATACGCAAAAATATATCTTTTAAGCTAACAATGCTAAAGTCATAAGAGAAGTATTTTTTTTAGTATTAGTCGCCTATCCTAGAATGGAATGGGATTGAATAGAAAAACGCGAAGCACTAGGGCCCTATACCATACATCCTGCCTTGGGACGACTGCACCTTAATCTTCCACCGGCATTTGGAATATTGCGGCGCATATAGTTACTTGTGGCACAAAAGGTCGAATTTCAAAGTAGTTAAAGTACAGCCAAAACAAGATTACGTTTGTAATTTTTAGACCATGATTCTCGACGTAATTTAGATGAAAGTTAAGTTTCCACAAATTTGATTATTTACTTGGAAAATTAGACGAAAGTTGTTTCTTTCATTGGATACGTGTGAATGGACGGTGCATGAAGCATGCGTCCAGCATTTGCGCCTTTTGAGTAAGAAACCAATGGTTATCTTAAACAGACAATCTAGCTTGGTTAGTAATAATTGGATTAGTATAAATTGTTAGAAGAAAAAGAAAATTTCTGTTTAAGAGAAGAAGCCAACTTGAGAAATGACTAAGGAGTAAGTCAATTTAAAACAAAAATGAATATACTCTTACAATCAATTATTATGCACAAAAAGTGGCAAATTTCGTGACAAAGGGTAGTAACTCAATGGTAGAGTTGTTATCGTACATTTTGGAAGTATGGATTAAGTAATACTGCAATTAACAGAGAAATGCTCTTAAAATCAATTATTATGCATAAAAGGTGGCAAATTTCATGACAAAAATTGATAAGTAAAAGGTATAGTAACTCAATGGTGGAGTTGTTATCGCACATTTTGGAAGTGCGAACTAAGTTGGATTTTTTCCCAATTATTTCCCTTCGCCTTCTTTCTAGCTCACGGCTTCCAAACCTGCAAAGGAAAGGGAATTTCCAAATGCAAATGGTAACCACGACGAAGGAAAGGGAATTTTATGTTGGGAATAAACCCCTGGAGAATAATAGTCTTAATAATAAAAGCGGAATAATAACATAGTATCGAGATACGGTAATTGACAAGAATAAAAGAGTGATAACGACACCAAAATTTTTATGTGAAAAACTTTTTTGAATAAGGGAAAAATCACAGCCCCGAGACGAGCAACTGATATTACTATAGCAAGTAATTTTACACTTTGTAGGTCCGAGTAAAATACTCCAAAAACCACTACAACACTCAAAAGAAATAACCCTCGTTTGATATTCCCACCTCACTACAATATCACACATTCTCTATTTTTCTCACAAACTATTTTCTTATACCTTGTCTGTGAAACCTCACTATTTCTTTGTCTCTTTGTTGGTGTGTAGGAACGAGAGTCGAAGCTCTCCTTTTATAGTCGAAGACAATTCAACAAAGTTGGCAACCAAACTAAAGAAATTCAACAAAATTAACTACCAAACCAAAAAAATTCTCTGCCAAATATTTTTCTTAGGCACATGCCTATTACTTTAGCTTTTGAATGAGATAGACCCATCATTTTCTTTTCTAACTTGTGGTTGCTCAGTGGACAAAATCCTTCTATTGTTTCACATCTGAAAACGGACCATTGTTCTTTATAAGTATTGATAATACAGAAAAAATAGGAAATAAGTTGTTACCATGATTAAACAACTAATAATTTAAATAGCTCCAATGAAACGATATTTTCATCTTTTGGTTGTATGTAGAGATATCAAGCAGCAGTTAAGCCCAAGTTCTTGGTCAAAGGACTAGGGTACAAATCGGAAACTAGTCATTTTTAACCCTTGTTATTAGAGTTTAGCTAGTACCTTAAAGGGTATTAGTATTTAGCTACTCTTTTTGCAGGAAAAATATTTGGATAAAAATACCCACAACCGAAACATGAAAATGATGGGACAAACCCATGTGTGTAAATGAAAAAGTCAAAGAAAAAGAATGAAAGGAAAAATAGAAAGAGAAAGAAAGAAATAAGAGTCACCAAAGATAGGCCGCAAATATGAAAGAAACAATTTGGCGCGTAGTTTACAGTGCCGTCCTGCCGCGTATTCACATTCGCTGCAAACTTTTCTTTCAGCAGATGCTTTGCCTATAAACAGGCGCTCTTCTTCAGTTGTACATCATCCTCAGCAGTTTTTAAAAGGTATTTTCGGAGCGAGCACTGGGGCGAGGCGCACCAAAAATGCCCTGAGGCGATGATGTGGGGCGAAAGTCTCAAGAGGCGTTCGGGGCGTACGCCCGGGAGTTTGAGGCGCATTTTTATAGTGAGGCGTAAGCCCCAGAAACTTTTTCAAATTAAAACAAAATTTGTTGAATAAGTCCTTCATATAATACCCAAATTCTTAAAAGTCGGCTTGTAATTACTCAAAAGCTTTAAAAAGGAATTGAAATGTATTAAATTTAAAAGTCAAGACCTTTTTTATTGATTGACGCTCTAATTCATGGTCTTTTTCAATTTTTTCTCTTGTACGATAGTCTGCTAATATCTCTAAAACGGAACAAATATTCAAGTTTTTTTTACAAATACAAAGAGAACTCCATTCTCCTTCATAACAATAAGTTCAAAGTTCAAATCGCAGGTTAGTTATCCTTTTTGTTCCTCCATGTAGAAAACTTTATTATTTTCGACTCAAGTTACTTGTGTTTTAAGTAGCGTATAATAGATTATTTTGACTAGTTTTTTATAGGGATGGAGCACATGTGTGTGTGTGTGTGTGTGTGTGTGTGTGTGTGTGTGTGTGTGTGTGTGTGTGTGTATATATATATATATATATATATTATTTTATAAAATATTAAAAATTAAATACCTATGGGGCTTACGCCCCGTTCCTCGGGGCTTACGCCTCGCTGAGGCATATGTAAAACGCTTTGCCTTACGCCCATGCCTTTTAAAACACTGATCCTCAGAACATTCTTCTTTCTCTCTCAATATTAATAAAGAGCTATTCTTTGTATGGCCGTGGAGTAGGCAAAAATTGGCGAACCACGTAAATCTTATTTTGTGCAATTTATTGTGGTTCTCTTTAAATATATTTTTCTCTCTCTATCAGTCTGAGATGCTTCCCAACAACTGGTATCAGAGAACAGACAATGTAATTCTGATGAAAAAGTACGGTATTGGTGAAGATACTATTCACAAGAATAGTGCGGCACTATTGATCATCAATACTAACACTACTCACAATTGTGAAGTATTATTCATTAATAGTGATAGTATCGTTCACAAATAGTGATTGTTGGCTACTTTATACGGTTGAGATATTTTTTCTTACACAAAGTAGTATTTGCGGTTACTATTCACATAAATTTCTTTTTGTGAAAAATAATGTCGGAAGAAGGGAAGGTTAAGATTGACAAGTTCAATGGCAAAGATTTTGGATTCTGAAAAATACAAATATAGAATTATTTGTACCAGAAAAAATTACACTTACCTCCGACCGGGGTAAAATAAGAGAATATGGTTGATCATGTCCACAACACACCTCAATAAGAGATATGACACGGTCGTATGCGATAATAATTACCCAACTA